TTCAACATTGTTATCAAAGGATACAAAGTTTGGAAACAGTTTTGAAGTACAAAGTCTTCTAAAATGGGTGTGATTATTTGATTTCAGCATAACAACTTCCAGTTGGTGGATTGTAGGCCATATGGCATGGGGGGGGGAATTATTAGATTTTAGCAGCTTTGCAGATGATCAGAAAGATTGCTTAAATAAGTGGCATACCCTTTTCAATTTTAGGAGCTAGTGTGGCTGCAAAAAAAAAATTCCCCGAAGTATTAAATTTTGGATCAGAAAGGACACTGTGTCTTAACAAGGAAGGCGCATCCTTCATTACAGTGGGACAGAGCACAAGTCCTGTGGGCATCAGAACTTCACCTGAACAATATATTCTGGGCATTACTTTTGGAATTTCTAGGATATCTGACAGTGCATTCCAACGCATGTTTCCTTAGAAGTATGTACGTCCCACTGTGTTCAATGGGGCTTACTCTTTGGTAAGCCCACATAAGGCTGAAGCCAAATACACACCCAAAGATAATATTGCACCATAGAGCCACAGACCTGTCTCCCAGGTCTTCCTAGTTCCACAATACCACATCATTTTCAGATTACGCAAATATTTATCTGATAAAACACAAACTTCTTTATTGCCAACCATTAAGACCATTTTTAAAGGCTGCCTTACTAAAGTCGCTTTTAAGAAATCGATTTTCTGTTCTGATACATGAGCCAAATGTTAGAGCAGCGTTGCTGATGCTGAATGAGTGAAGAAAAATAAGATACCAAGGCTGCAAGCATAAGGCCACCATTGCCCATAGCAGTTGCATTAGGCTTAGAAGGACAACAGCAGATTAAGTAGCTTTTGGCTTGCACTTATACTTTATGGTTCTTAAAATTAATAAGGTATTTGAGAATAATGGACTGGATGACTTATATGCAGAGCATCCTTTGGCTTCACGATTTCCATTTAAGTAGCTCATTTAAGCTAAAAATCTGAATGACCTCAGATGATGATCACAGGGTCCAGATTGATTCATATAGGGTGGGTCAGTCCATGAGGTATTGCAATCCTGAGCCTTTTAGTAGCTCAAAACCAGCACTTTGAATTTGGGCTCAGAAACTAATTGGCTGCCAGTGCAATCAGGCCAGGATTGGAGCTATATACTCAAACCACCTTCCCCTGGTGAGGAACCTGGCTGCTGAATTCTGTAACAGCCGAAGTTTCCAAACCATCTTCAGAGGCAGCCCCATGTATAATGCATTGCAGTAATCAAACCCAGAGGTTACCAGAGCACAGATGACAGAACTTAGGCTACCTCTGTCCACATAGGGGGACACAGCCACCAGCCAAAGTTGATGGAAGGCACTCTGCGCCACTGAGGCCCAAAACCGGCCACTGCCCCCAGTGATGCTCTCTGGATCTGTGCCAATATTTAGATCAGAAGACAATCTGAACTGCAGCCTCTACCAAGTGGCCGGTCGTGGGGAGCATATTCCAGTGTAAGGCAACAGAAAGCTTTTTTTAAAAAAATCCACATACATTGGCTATCTATCGGCATCAGGAGTTTAAATAGTTTAAGAAATGAGGCTTTAACCTGTGCTATCTTTAATTTGTTTTTAAATGCTATTGTATCTCCATGTTTGTTAGCATAGTGCTATTTTCAAGAGCATTTAAGATAAGACAGACCAAAAAAAATCTAACTAAACCTATAAGAAATGCACATCTGATCGAAATAATAGGAAATACTTGTCCTAAATATCCTCTCTGGTTAACTTAGTGATGCTGAGTCACACTGGGGGAGGGTGGCTGCGTTATGCACAGTGTCCAAATAATCCCTTTCAAAACAAAGACCAATACATTAATTGGAAACTGCTTTGGGTACATTGTGCAATGGACCATTGTAGGCATTGACATGCTATTTTACCTTAATATACGACTTAGTCTTAGAGCATATTGTAGCTAAGCTCATGCAATTCGTTACTGTGTGGATGTCCTCTGTGCTATGATTATGCCTTGTTAGAGATTTAGAGATTATATATTTTTTATCTCTTCTAGTAGCCCGTTAACCCCTTTTCCCTTTGAAGCTAAAATTTGTGACTATTATCTGACATATACAGCTAGTTAACGGTAAAGGTCTTGTGAATGGAAATAGCTAAGTACTGTAATGTCCTGCGCACACCCAGCCAAGGAAGGCAAACAGTGGGTGGTTAATTCTTTATTGACAAAATCAAGCACTTAAAGTATCTCCTATAGCTGTTTCTAGGCAGGGTGCCAACTTAAATAAAATATTGGAGAGGCCCAGGTAAGCTCCACCCTGCATAAGCGATCATAAGAGGCAGAGCATGCACACCGTTTGAATGGCAATGCCATAAACCTGGGGTGGGGGGCTGGCCTCTACAAATATTTTATTTAGGGGACCAAAGGGACCTCAGCCCCTAAGAATTGGCGCACACAATCTGAGACTTCTGCAAGGAAGTCATCACTGTGCTTCCCTCTTCACACCTCTCCTGGTTCTATGAGACAGTGGGGCAGGCGGTGGCAGGTTTTTAACTGGCCCGCCCCTGGCCTGAACTACATCGTTCTCTGCTTCTGTCCCATCCTGCACCCCCTCCTCCATCTCTGACTGCTCACATTCCCCTCCACCCTCCGCCCTGGCTTCTGCCTCGTGGGTGGAACCAAACCCCATAAATCACTGGCCCCTTTCCTGGGTCTGCCTCTGGGGGGTCCTGCCTCCATCACACACTCCTCAGAGCCTTGCAAGTCTCTGTGTGCTGGTCCGGGGGGAGGTTACCGTGGGGTGAGGCCCAGGACCTGAGTTGAGGGTCGCCAGACAGTCCTCCTCGGGCAAAGCAGGGTCCACAGCGAGAAGCCTGGCAAGGACAGGAACCCTGGGGGAACCGGACTGGATGCTGGCCGAAACAGCTCATCAACGACGTTGCTCCTGCAACCTGGGACCGGGCTGACTGGCCTTTATCTTCTCTGAGGCCAGGGGCGGTCCCGGCCCCCAGGAGACCCGCCTCTCCTGGCCTTAAGGCGAGCACTCCTCCTGGGAGAAACCAGTTCCCTTCGCCTCTCTGCCCTGAGCCTCTGCAGTTCAGGAGAGGCTGAAGGGTTACTGGACCCAGGGGAGACTCACCTGTAGGCACTGAGTCCTCAACCACCTCCGGAGCCAGAGTGGATTCACCTGGTGCCTGCTCCTGAGGATCCGGCACAGGTGCAGGCGCTTCAGAATCAAGGCCCTGCCCCAGTTCAGCCGGCCCTGGAGGCGGGGACTCCTGTGCAGGCTGGGATTCCTCCGGTTCAGCCTCTGAATCGGATTCCCAGGCCATCACACTCTGAAAAGTAAGGTGTACACACTGTATCTTCAAAGCACGTGAGCACATTCTTTCCCTCAAAGAATTCCAGGCACTGTAGTTCACAGTTACTATTCCCAGCAATCCTGGACAACCTACAGCAGTGATGGCCAAACTTGGCCCTTCAGCTGTTTTGGGACTACAGTTCCCATCATCCCTCACCACTGGTCCTGTTAGCGAGGGATGACTTGTATAAAACTAGGCATTGATAAAAATCCCTACAGTTCCCATCATCCCTCAACATTCCCAGCAATGCTGGGTGTAGTGAAGGGTTAACCTTCTGTGTCTCGAGGCTGAGAGGAGGCGCTTACAAGGGAAGTAAGCCAGGACGTGACAAAAGCAGCTTGTAATGCTGTGAGCTGAGTAAAAAGTGAAAGCAGCTTTCTTACGCAGCTGCAAGCTGAGAGAGAAGGACGCAGAGGAAAATGCAGCTTGAATCAGATGGAATTTCTTGCTTGTAAATATGCTACTTTTGAGCAAATAAAGTGCTACTAGAACAGAAGAAACGTGTGGGACTTGTTTTACTGCCCTTTCAACACGGACGCTGTGCAATTCTGCTAATTGCTTTACGACCTGCAGAGGAGTGCAGGGGAAGCGTGCCGGACGCCGAACACTAAAGCAATAAATCTACCTAACAATGGTTATGGGTCAACGTGAAGCGTGTGAGAAAGGGCTTTGAAGCTTTATTTGCTGATCGTCAGCTTGATCGACTGCCGGAGACTTCAGAGGGCAGATCAGAGGAGGCTGACGGAGAGGGAGCTGAGAGCCGTGACGTCTGGAGTGCCAGACACTGTAGTTCACAGTTACTATTCCCAGCAATCCTGGACAACCTACAGCAGTGATGGCCAAACTTGGCCCTTCAGCTGTTTTGGGACTACAGTTCCCATCATCCCTCACCACTGGTTCTGTTAGCGAGGGATGACTTGTATAAAACTAGGCATTGATAAAAATGTTAATAGGGATGGGAGATTGGGGGCACATGGCAAATTCCCAATCCAACTATGGTTTACTGGACCAGGTATGTGATGTCTGAGCTCGGCTAGGATGCAGTAGTGACATGTGTGGCAAGACAGAACTGCCCTCCTAAACACCAGCATTGCTGCTGCTTTTCTGGAGACAGCTGGGACCATGGAAAGGGCGGGGTGACATAGAAGCACTAGCCAGGAGCATCATTGCAAATCTGGCATTCCCAGGGATGTGCCAGCATGGCCCCAACCTCACCACTGCCAGCCTTTAGAAGTTTTAGTTAACAGGCTTAAATTAACCTAGATCTTCAGTGTGGACTTTAAATTTCATAGGAAAATATTCTCTTAAAGGTCATTGAGGAAGAAAGGCAAATATAAAATGTGAGTGGCCTATCTGGAAGTATCCTGATTAAAACAAAAAGAGAGAGAAAGTGTAATTTAGGGAAATAGCTGTGCTGCGTTCTCTCTGGGAGAGATTTTTCATAACTGCCTCCTTCTATCATGTCAAAAATAGTTGCGCAGAGGAAAGGTAAACATCATCATTAAAATAATGACATTGGATCCCACAGAGCAATGCCTGGCAGGATTGTGAAAATTCTCCTGGCTCTCCACACGTTCGCAGCTTTTCATTTCTGATGAAGTCTGAGCGTCTCTGTGGAACTGGGTAGAACATTTATTTCATTTTATTATCTTTTTTTTCCTTTTGAGAAATCAGGGGCGGCACAGCACACGGGACTTGCAAGCATCAGCTGGAAAAAGGTAGCAGCTACATACAATTGAATATTTAGTCTACCAGCTCTCCCCTCCCCTAAGTGGGGCAGATATGAACTTCTGCTTCCAGCCCGATGCCTGCTGCCTCACAGCATGCAGGGGTGGAGCTTTTCACAACAGCTGAGGAATCTACTCAGACAGGAGCTCCCGAGTGCAATTATTTTAAGGCAACCCATATACAATAAATGCGCCACTTCTTCAGTAATTTGTGCTTTTCACAGGAAGAGGCCTCACCTATGAGGACAGAATCCTAGAGGGAGAATTAATGAGCACTGCTATAGCATCGACTGAACGTGAAAGGCAGTATCTTTCTACTACTCTTTATTATGAAAGACAGCAGGAAATGAAACTTTAAAAATGAACCTAATGTAATTTAAGAGCTAGAAGTCTTTGCAAAATCTAACTCTTAAGACAGCTACATCCAGGACTCCAGCCAGTATCAACACAAGTAAAGCCTTTAATTATGATAGGTACATGACCTTGGTGTTCCCAGCTTCAGATATGAGTAGATATGGCCTTTCTAACTGTAATGAGTTTTAAATTATTTCTCCAACCAAAAGCTGATACTAAGTTCTAGGATTTTAACTGTGCAACACGATTTCCTCTTATTTCCACTGAGCAGTGTGATTTGTTTTGTCCCCCCCTCCTCAAAATGTGATCAGAGCAGTGTTCTTTTTATAGAAAAAGATGTGCTGGAGCTCACCACGAACTTTTCCCTTGTTCTCTTAGAAGAGCAAGGGTGCACACCTGAGAGGTGAGCTTCAGCCAGAGGCACCGACTTTGGCCCCAGACTGTGGGTTCCCAGTGTGTGTGCTGGCGCCATAACAGCATGAAGCACGCCCATGGCCACAGTGGGACCCTGAGGAGGAAACTGAGCTGGAGCCTGCGTGCTCTGCTGAAGCGGGAGAAGTAAGGCGGCGGCTGGTGGTTGACACATGGCGGTGAGGGGGGTGCAGAGGCCGGGCACCCAAAGCAAAAATTTTGTGTGTGCCTGGGCCTCCTGGAGTTGGCTCCATTGGCTCCAGCTGAAAAAAAAGCCCTGGATGTGATCGATTCGGAAAAAGAAAATATATATTTATTACAATAATACTTTCCAATGCTACACCATCACTCATCCAGATAGAGATGCAAACTTCTGTAACTCTGACTGTCAGGCATCTGACAGTCTCTGCAGGCAGGGTAAAGATACAATCTTCAAAGAATGTCTGTAAGCCCCGTGCCTTGCGATTCTGGGAGAGCTTCAGGTGAAGTTGGACAATGTGAGATGTATTATGGTGTTATTCTTTACATTGTGATATCGACAGTCAGTTAGCCAAGAGTCCGCTGCATCAGATTATTTATTTATTGGCTTTCCACCCCTTCGATTCAACAGACTTCCAGGGCACCTTTCAAAGAAGCAAAAACTGCAGTAAAAGCAATTTAAAACAAAACATTAGAAGCAACAAAGGTTTTCAACAGAAGCATGAAAGCAATAAGCAAAGATAAAAACAAATTCAAAGCGGCATGAAAGCAATTAACAAAAAAACAAACAGCAAACAAACAAAACAAATCAAGCCAGAAAAAAAGAATATTTTCGCCTGGCCCAAAATATAATCGTAGGGCCCCAAAAATGTAATAGTAGGCATAAGGTAAGCCTTCTTGGCAGCCGTCACTAATAAGGGCCTGAATTTCACATCATGGTTGAGTGGACATCTGTCATGGATGCTTTAGTTGAGATTATTGCATTGTAGGGGGTTGAACTAGATCACCGTTGTGATCTACAATTCTATGACTGTGTACAGGAAAGCATATGTGGAAACAGGCAGTTCTTCGAGTTCCCTAATCAGAGGCATTTCTAGGCACTAAAGGGACTTGGGGCACAGATCCAAATTCACATTTGAGAATTTCTATATAGAATTGCCTCTGGGCAAATTAAGCTGGAAGACAGCTCACAAATAAGCAACAACCAAGTTTTTTAAATAAAGGGAAATGAGCAGGAGATCCAGGGTCCAGCACAGGGTTTGCCCTCCTAGGCACCCCCTAAAAATGCTCCTGATATTGTTGTGCAGGTCGGCTCCACAGCACCACCAATGGGCAGGGGCGGAGGAAGGGGTGTGTGGTGAGGGAAGGCCGCTCCGGATGTCACTGCCCCAGGGATGACAAAATGCTGGGTGGCACTCATGGCAGGGCCTACAGCGCACCCAAGCCACACGTCTCTCCTGGGAGTGACGCGGTGGCTTGGGCACCCACAGGCTCTGTGCTGCCCCAAACGGCCCACCCACTGCCTCCCCCTCAGCTGTAGGGTGGCTGAGTGGGAGGAGGCATGCAGACTCCTTGGAGGCCCCATGGAACGTCCTGTCCCAGCTGGCTCCGCCCCCGTGGGCAGCTGGCCCCGTCCATGGGCACAGGGCACGCATGCTGCCCCAGGCGCCCAATTGGCTTGCTCCACCGCTGCCAATGGGGGTGCTATTGATAAATAATAGGTACACATGTCCATCCCCTTTAAATTTGTCACATAACTATTATTGCCTGGCCTGATTTGAAGCACCTCAGAGCTTAACACTATATGCAGGGCAGAGCGACAGTCAGGGAAAGGGCAGTTAGACGCCTGGAGCATGGGCTTAAGCAACAACTATGACATGACTATTCCTCTTATCTAGCTTTGTTAAAATTATTGCTGAGAGTTTAAAGCACTGCACATTCTTTCTTTGTTTGGAATTGTGGTATCTCCCCCTTTATTGTTTATTTATTTATTTATTCATTTATTTTCTTTTATTTAAGGCATTTATATACCACTCAACCATTAGCATTTGGACCTAAGTGTATTACAAGAAACAGTAAGCCTAAAGTGTCCCTATCTATTGCTGTCCGACCTGATTTAAGTTTTTCCTTTAGCTCGTAATGATTACTTTCTAAGTAGCCTTGTAAAAACCTTATATAACTCAGTAAAGTCAAAATGCCAGACTTAGAAGGTGTGCTTTTAAATACATAATAATGAATAATAAATCACAGGTTTTTGAAAGGTGGCAGCATTTCTGATATACATCAAGGCTCTTGCTGTTCTTATTTCCATTTGGAATTATCATTTTTCTATTTCCTTGGGAGTGAATGCTTTTATAATCTTGAAATGATCTGAAAGAGAGAGAAACTTTATCCTAGATATTAGACAATCAATTAATGTTTTTATTTGCCCAAAGCTCTGTAGTACACTGAAGTTTATACCTTACTGTTTACAAGCAGGGATGTTGTTAGTAACTTAAATTGTGCTAGTCCATTGCACTACATACACAACAGATATGAGTAAATCACACCACAAACTATATAGGCTGGTGGGAGGGATCAGTCTACAGTGAATGTGGGTTCTTTGGCCCTCCAAGTGATCTTCAAGCACAAGCCTAACTTAAGTCGAAAGGGCCAGCAGGGTGGAATTTACATTTATCAGGGTCAGGTACTTCCATTCAGCCAGTCATTTGCAATTAGCCTCTCCATGTGGCTAATATAATAATCACTGGATGGTAATTAACAGCAAGGCATGCCAGACAAATGACACATAATTTTATGTTGTGGTTCTCTTGCTTTATTAAAGCACCACACTAGAATTTATGTGGTCTGCTCAGGTCTGCGTTTATTACCCAGCACACCAAATGCAGCCTACTAGCTGTGGATTGTGGCCTTTCAAGCACTTGGTAACCCCTCATCTTCCTGCAATATTAGGCAGGCAGCAAAATCAACTTTAAATCCAAGATGGGCCTCCACTCAAAACATGGCTGGTGCACTGCCTTCCATTTGTTGGGTTAGAAGCGGTGCTTTTTTCTGGGGGGACGCAGGGGTACGCATACCCCTAAACATTTTGTGAATCTAGGTTTGGCCTCATTGAGGGGCAGTATTTCAATATGAGCAGGAAAATGAGAGTACCCCTAAACATTTTTTTTTACAAAACAAAGCACTGGTTAGACGTCATGGTTCAGGCTATAAACAGGATTGTACTGGCAACTGGTGATGTGCATAAAATCACAACCATGATTTCTGAATTTGTTACACAATCTGAAGTACGATCTGGCTGCTAGCTAAGCCAGGTTTTCCAACAGCTAATAAAATTACTTGGAAATATCCCATTTTTGGCAATCTGCCACAGTTTACCAGATTTCATATACAGTGGTGCCTCGCAAGACGAAATTAATCCGTTCCGCAAGAGTCTTCGTCTAGCGGTTTTTTCGTCTTGCGAAGCAAGCCCATTGACGGATTAGCGCTATTAGCGCTATCAGCTGTTTAGCGGCTATTAAAGGCTTAAAGGCTTAGGGATTAGCTGCTAAAAGGCTATTAAAGGCTATTAAAGGCTTAGCAGATTAGATAAAGGGGGGGAAAAGCGAAAAAAAATCTCAAGACTCGCAAGGTATTTTCGTCTTGCGAAGCAAGCCCATAGGGGAATTCGTCCTGCGAAGCAACTTCAAAACGGAAAACCCTTTCGTCTAGCGGTTTTTCCGTCTTGCGAGGCATTCGTCTTGCGGGGCACCACTGTACCTCTCAAAATCTTATTTCTCCTCCTCCTCCAGATTTTTAAGTTAGAATCATAGAATCGGAGAGTTGGAAGGGACCCTGAGGGTAATCTAATTCAACCCCCTGCAATGAAGGAATATGCAGGTGGCCAGTATGGGAATCAAACCCACGACCTTGGCGTTATCGGCACCATGCTCTAACCAGCTGAGCTAACTGAGTCAAATGACTCTGGTTTCCCACAATCCAGAAGTCTATTGTATTACTATATGCCAGCTGTTTTACAGGGTTACATCAATGTTAAAACTACAGTGAGTGATACACTGGACACATTTTGAGACTGGCCATCAAGCTGAATGGAAGGGGAATTAGACAAATTCATGGAAGACTAAGGTCATTGGTGGGTACTAGTCATGATGACCATATTACCTCCATTATCAAAGGAACAGCAGCAAGAGAATGCTATTTATTGCCCTGCTTGTGATTATCCGTTGTGGAAAACAGGATGCTAGACTAGATGAGCTTTCGGTCTAATACAGCAATGTTGTTCTTGTGCTCTTCAATTTGCATCCAATATTCAGATTGCTGCTGGGGCATTTCCAGTTAATTCCATTTAAATTTGACTTAGTGTAGTTCTTTGATGTTTTGGCGCTAGAAAAGTACTTGCTCTGATTATAAGGGAAGTCCCTGCTGCTGACGATACCCCATCTTTGTCTTATCGTGACATGAAGGCTGGGAGGAATGTAGTCCTCTCCAAAATGAGGGAACTGGGCAGTGGGATGGTGAGAGAAAGGCTGTCTATTTCATGCACCCTTTGTTCTGGAGGCGGTTGGCGGACGGATGGTGGCTAACAGATTGGGATTGAATCCTGACAAGACAGAAGTACTGTTTTTGGGGGGACAGGGGGCGGGTGGGTATGGAGGACTCCCTGTTCCTGAATGGGGTAACTGTGCTCCTGAAGGACCAGGTGTGCAGCCTGGGAGTCATTTTGGACTAACAGCTGTCCATGGAGGCACAGGTAAATTCTGTGTCCAGGGCAGCTGTCTACCAGCTCCATCTGGTACACAGGCTGAGACCCTGCCTGCTTGGAGACTGTCTTGCCGGAGTGGTGCATGCTCTGCTTATCTCCTCCATGGATTACTGCAAAGCGCTCTACGTGGGGCTACCTTTGAAGGTGACCTAGAAACTACAACTAATCCAGAATGCGGCAGCTAGACTGGTGACTGGGAGCGGCTGCCAAGACCACATAACACCGGTCTTGAAAGATCTACATTGGCTCCCAGTACATTTCCAGGCACAATTCAAAGTGTTGGTGCTGACCTCTAAAGTCCTAAACAGCCGGGGGCCACCAGGTGGCGCATTGGAAGATGGCCGACAATAACATCTCTCCGACCCACACGAGGTAATTAAGAGGCTGCTATGGGAAGTATGCAGCCTTCCCGACCCCCCAAGGAGATGGGGGGGACTGCCTTGCCAGCGGTGTCCATAATGCACCCCGGGAATCGAAAGAAGGGGGTGACGGACACTTGGCACGAGCCCTCGGTGAAGTCGGCTCTTCCTGACGCTGTCTCCAACCAGCGCCCGGGTTCGCTTTAGCTCAAAAATATAATTGGAAACATATAATTGGAAAGAAGCTAAAGCACATACATCAAGCGAAGTTCGGGAGATAAGACTGCTGATTAATGGATCTCTGTGACCGGAGCGACGGACGGGACAAATAAATCAAATGATGAACCACCATTAAGAGACTGGTATGTTTGGAGTGAAACGGAGGGGGGTGGAGGAAAAAACTTTTATTTTCTTTGCCTTATGTGAGTATTAATAACCCTCCACCCCAGAAAGAAGATCGTTGCATGTTACTAATCACAAGCAGGAATTTAAGAACTGTGTGGAGTGAATTACTGATCAAAAGAGAGGATCGGTAAACATCGGAGGAAAATTTTATGACGCAGCTTTAAATGGCGTCTTGCTAAAACAGGCTTGTCTAAGAAAGACGGGGGGAGGAGGACCAGGATCATCGGAATGTGAATGATGATTGGAATGTGATCTAAACCTGGCAGAGCCCTCTGTGATATATTTGGCAAGCCTGGGAAAATTAAAGGACAGACCGAGGATAAATTCTTTACGGAAGTGTGGAATGGCGTCTGTCCCTATGTGATATGATTTTTGGAAGTGTAAAACCCACACAGAGGATGTTTGTTTCCAACCCGCTTGTGAAGATTATCAGAGATCGCAAAGAAAGGAATATATGATAACAACAAGAAGATGAAGTAAGTAATAAAGAGACTATCTGGACAGAACTGGATAGAACTGTCTAATTAAAGCAGCAATATAAGTGATGCTAGGACCCCCGTTCGGAGCTTGAGGTATGGGTATCCCCAACAAAATTTAAAAATCTGGCTGTATAATTTGGAATTAATGTGATTTGGAAATAATGTGAGTTGATTGGCCAGTTAATAAAAATTATTTTTTTAAAAAAATAAAGCCCTAAACAGCCTCGGTCCAGTATACCTGAAGGAGCGTCTCCACCTCCATCGTTCAGCCCAGACACTGAGGTCCAGCTCCAAGGGCCTTCTGGCGGTTCCCTCACTGCGAGACGCGAGGTTACTGGGAACCAGGCAGAGGGCCTTCTCGGTAGTGGCACCCACCCTGTGGAACACCTTCCCATCAGATGTCAAGGAAATAAACAACTATCTGACTTTTAGAAGACATCTGAAGGCAGCCCTGTTTAGGGAAGTTTTTAATATTTGATTGCTTTTTCATCATCATCATTATTAATAATATTCTGTTGGGAGCTGCCCAAAATGGCTGGGGAAACCCAGCCAGATGGGTGGGGGGGTGTGATAAATAAATAAATAAACAAATAAAATAAATATTCGGTCTTGTTCCTGATCTCTGGAATGCTGTAGTTGCATGCTGCATTTGTATTGATCCCATTCTGATCAGGCAGTTGGACTTGATGACCTCCAATGGTATCCCATTTTTGTCTTTATTATCTGCACATGACGAAGGGTAAGAACGGGTGCATGCGCTTGCTGGCCTCGTCCCTCCATTGCTTCCCTGTTTTGCTTTCCAGAGGGTGAAGGCCTCTGACAGGCAGGATACTGTACTTGTCAGGAGTCTAAACCATGCAGGAAGCCTGGATGACTGAAGCAGGCTGCACACTTTTCATCCTTCACTGTGGAGGCCACTGAATGCGACAGAGGGTGGGACCAGCAAGTGATTCCCTACTCATGATTCTGTATAGAGCTCCCATCAATCTACTCTCCTTCCTTTTGAACATACCTTTAAACATCCACTCTCTGAACCCGGAAAGAGCACACTTGTCTAGTACCGCACTGGAGGATCAAGGCTGCAGCCTTGTGCAAGGACATTGATGCACACTCCAGTTAAAAATACACCCCAAACCCAAGCTTGTCCCGAAGTGTATCTTTGGTAATAGTTGTGCATTATTACACCAAAAAGGGGGGAAAGGCATGGTCCCCCCCCCATACACTTTAGATCTAATGTAAAGGTTTTGGAAGGCACTGCCATCTTGGCTTGGGCATTTAAGATTACCGGTACCTGTGGATGGGTGTTACCTCCTCTTACAAATAGACTCCTGGCTGTCATGGGTCTCTAGCCATATTTTGTCTGCTGCATGTAGAAATACCAAGAATGCAGCTTTCCCCAGCATTAAGCCTTCGTCCAGGAAAACACTGAACATACTGGATTAGATACCCCACCACAGCTGCCAAAGGCCCAAGAGATATGACAGGGGAAAACCAAGACACAATAAATAGGTGGAGAATTTTCTTGAATAGTGCTTCCTTTTATACTCTGTGAGTAGTTCCAAGGAATGCAATCAATTATAAAAACGGTGTCCTTGGTATATTAAGATTCTTGCTGATACTGGAATCTACTGAAGTGTCTGTCTTCTATTTTATGATGCTGTCAGACCAGATTCCCTTGACTGAATAGCAGTCTTGTTTTACATGGCTGCTTATTTGCTACTGACTGATAAAAAATTGCACAACAAAGAACATGCTATGCTCTCTGCAGCACTATCATTTGTTTGTGGATATGCCTTCTCTGAAAAGTCACAAGCCCACTGTGAAAAAAGAAAAGAAAAAGAAACTCCTGTGAACCTGAAAGAATGATGTAAGAGCTGAAGTAAATTTGCACAGCAAACATCATTTTCATTATGGGCGTTGCCCTTTATCCGATAAATTTATTACCATTTGTGGGGATATGTGAAACAACCCAAGTTAAGCATGTTTACAATACAGTTTGGTGACCCACATCTATTTGAAAGTATATGCTACTGAGTTCAGTGGCACTTAATCCTAGGTTAATGAGTATAGGATTGCAGCTTTAGATATGTGCATGCCTAAATTTGGGTGGATCATGCCTAAAAATATATATTATTGTGAAAAGTAGAAAATCCTAAGAATTTTTAAAGTATTACACAGTAATAGAGGGGAGTTTAAATTAAGTGTTTGAATCAGATTGTGTTGTGACATTTTTAGTGTGATCTTTCTATTGTGATGTCCAGTATCTATTTGTTTTGGTTTTTTAATCTGGTGAGTTCAGGACCTGCCCTGAACTCCTGGAATAAAAACCCAAAGCAAGAAACATTCATTGCTTAAGCTTGGTTTGTCAGGTGATCTACCAATGAAGAAACTTTGTCAGGTGATCTACCAATGAAGAAACTTTGGTGGACAAAGAGCAAACTACAAAGTGATATAGCCCTTCACAACTTGGTAATTCTTCTGCCATTTTAAGGGTGCAATGGGGAAAAAATTAGTACAGGCATTAATTTTTCATTTTAACAAAATTTATATAGTGCTTGTCTGTAAGAAAACCTCAAAGCAGTTTACAAAAATATAATCACTTTGAATGTTTTTTAATACTGCCATTTGCAACTCTAACACTGTTAGGTACTTCTTATCACTGCAGCAGTTTTTCTATACTAAGTTCTGAATGGTTGCTTTTTGAATGCAATTTCAGTATTTTAATAAGACTATGATAAAAAAAAAATCTGCCTCCTCTTCCCTTTATTGCACCATCAAAACCAATTATGTACATATTGAGGTTAACTGTCCTGAAAAAAACACAGTCCAAAATATCAAATACTAACCTCAGTTACAAAATTCAGTAGCCAGATTAGTCAGTTTAATGTGTGTGTTTGTAACCCTGAGAGTGAATAACCTGCCTTACCTTGTACTTATGTCCTTATCTGTAAATTACTGCTTCCTTACCATACAGGAGTGTTAAAAGATAAACACTTTCCCCTTTTATTCTAAAAGCAGCTTTAGAACAGTGCTTTTAGAAGAGAGCAGTGTACACAGAATATAGCACTTTGGATAAGAGTGGATAGCTCTATGGAGCTTCCAAAAATTTATGTATAGGGCTGGTTTGTAAAGACCTGTGCACTACAACTGAATTCCATTAACTTCAGCAGAGTCTAGATTTAACCATGAAAGAGCAAAGATATTCATACAACTAAATATGCAAGAGCAGGCCATGGGCATGGGCTAAACTGTAGCAGGGAAACTACAGAATAGAGTGCATATGTTCATCTGCAGTGTTTTCACTGGTCAACTTTTTATCAAAAGGACAGGCTAATTCCCTACATATACATGAGCCACATTGAAAACAACTGGGATGCGGAAAGTGAAGTGTCATCAGCCTCTGAAAGATCAACTATTTAGCTACCATCATATTGTGTAATAGCCATCTTTTAAACCTTATTGTATAGGAAGCACATTAAACCACTATGTGGTGTGAAATATCAGACAACCTTCCAAAATCAAAACATTAACCTGAAATTTTTGCTTTTTTAAATCTGATCTTTTAACATGAAACAAGGTGCCTGATCCCAAGCAGCAGAGTTTGGCACACTTGGACTGCAAACCCATGTAAGAACAGTAAGCATCACAGAATTCAATGAGGCATACTGTACTTCTGAGTAAGCGTAGGCACAGGATGCACTGATGCCATTTGAAGTTTAGCAGGAAAGGACCTACTCTGTGGTGGTGCCCTGACTGCAGAATGCTCTCGTCAGGTGTTCCTTCCATGTCCAACGCTACCCTCCACTACCCAAAGTGTGAGTGATGAGGCAATGAGAGGGCTAAGGCAGCTGCCTGCAACTCTGCCTTCTCTGGGAGCCTGTCCAGAAAGTGTGGCAAAGATATGGAAATAGGAGCAGCATTGCCATGTCTTACTTGCATGGCTCCCATTCCCACCTAGCAGAGCCCAGGGGAGGTGGTACAGTCTTTTTTATATATATAGGTGGCTTCCCATCGGTCTCTTCCCAGCAACTTCCCAGCCTCAGTTCAAGGTCTTAAGAAGTAATGATGCCACTCTGTTTTGTTTTAGTTAAGGACGGGGTGGCAGTGGCGGCAGGTTGTGCCGAACACACATCAAGGGGGAGCTCAGTGCCGCGCATGGTATGTTACACCATGCATGGTGGTGGACGGGGCGCAGAGGCTGCTTGATGGGGATCTTGGGGGGGTGCACCTGGGGCAACAGCCCCCCTGGCACCCTCCACACTAAGCCACTGGGGCGATGTGTAGGGCTGGCTAGCCCACGAGGCACCTGTTGGAGAGCTCTTGTGAGATCTCGCTGTCACTGCTTTGCCTTGCTTCAGTGATGTGGGAGGGGGCACCCACAGTTTTCTGGCACCACTGTGGGTGCCTCCTGCCACCAGAGAAGCGAGAAGAAGCTGCCTTTGACAGGACCGGTGGTCTGGAAACTAAGCCTAATGAGGAGCACTTGAAGGAGCTGGGTATGTTTAGCCTGGAAAAGTGGAGACTGAGAGAAGATATGTAAGCCATCTTCAAACATCTTAAGGACTGTCACATGGAAGAGAGAAGAAGCTTGTTTTCTCCTGCTCTGGAGGGTAGGACTCGAACCAATGGCTTCGAGTTGCAAGAAAGGAGATTCCGACTAAACATTCAGAAAAACTTTCTGGCAGTAAGAGCTGTTCAGCAGTGGAACACCCACCAGAGTTGGTGGACTCTCCTTCCTTGGAGGTTTTTAAGCAGAAGTTTAAGTTTAAGCAGAAGTTGAATGGCCACCTGTCATAGATGCTTCAGCTGAGATTCCTGCATTGCTGGGGGTTGGACTAGATGACCCTTGGAGTCCCTTCCAACGCTAAGATTCTATGATTCCTGTTTTGCCTCAGGTGGCGGAATGTGTTGGACCAGAAGCAAAAACCAGAAGTATTGTTTTGGGTGACATTCCTCTGTGCTCCTATTTCCTTCCTCCTCTTCCTGTACCTATTTCTCTTAACCCTTTCCTTTCTTCTATTCCTTGTTATTGTTTTTTCCCCCGCAATCCCCTTGTTCAATCCTTTTCCCCCTCAAAAATTTTTGCTCCCAGAGCTGAACTCCCAAGTGTTCCTTCCTGGGCAGGAAGCCCGCCTACCTACCTACCTGCCGACTCCTTCTGCAGGGCGCTTCCCTCACCTGAACTCCAGCCGGCGACGTGGTCACATGGGCCCGGCCGAGAAGGCGGGCGGGTGCGTTGCATTTAGGAGCGGCAAAGCTCCGAGCCGCCCTCTTGCCATTGGCCCCTGCCCGGGCACGTGGCGCTCCCCTCCCGCCTCTGGCTCACAGCTGGGTGGCCTCGCCGCCGCCGCCGCCGCTGCGCTGCTCCTGGCGGCGAAGCAAAGCAGCCGGAGAGCCGCTCCAGTGAAGAGCCTGACGGGGCAGCAGGAGCCGGAGAGTTTGTGTTGCCCGCGCGCCGTCGTTACCCGCGAGGAGCCTGAGTGCGCGGCAGCGGGGCGCCTCGCCTGTAGCTTCGCCCGGCAGCTCCCAGGCAGCGCGGGAGCCCTTTCGCCTTCCCACCCCGCGCTTAGAAAAAGCCAAGCCGGGGAGAAGGCGGCTTGAAGGACCGGGCAGCGGCGGGAAGGTAGGTCCCAGTCAGTGCAGGGGGCTGCAACCTCCAGCCGCCGCCGCCTCCTTCTTCTCCTCCTCAGGCGCAGCAGGGGCCGCCCTGCCTTGGCCGCCTGCCGCAGTAGTTCTTCGGAGCGTCCCTCGCGCTTTTCCCGCGCCGAAGTTGTGGGTCGCTTCGGAAGAACGGCGGCGGAGAGGAGCTGGCCGCCGGGGAGAGGCGCCGCGCCCCTTCCCGCCGCTTCTCCCTTCGCCTTCTGGAGCCCAGTTAACCATAAGCCCGAATAGGAGGAGGAGGAGAAAGAGGAGGTGGACTCTCCATTTGGCGCTGCCGGGAAGGAGCGCCTTGCGCCCGGCTCTGGTGGTGCTGGAGGAGGCGCGCCCCGTCCAGCCTCCTCTCTTTGCGCCATGAGGCGAGAGAGGGAGAGAGAGACTTGCTTGGGATGGTTCGGCTTTATACAGCTGGAAGCGTGCTTTGCGGGTGGGGTGCGCGCGCCTAAAATGGTCCCGCTGGCGCGATTTCGTGGGCGAGGTTTGGATCAGGATCGAGACACGCATTCCAGAGCTTTTCAGGCTGTAGTAGTTGTTGTTGGGTGTGTGTATCTGCTGTCAGAAAAAGAAAGGAAAAGTTCGGCGGGCTGGCCGAGTTTCCCAGCGACTTCTAGGGATGTTGGAAAGGGTTTCGCTTCCTGGTGCGTAAAACGGGGGGCGGGAGGGAACTCGAACCCGGGAGATCGGGGCTGGCCCGGCTCCATTTTCCTGGGGCCAAATCGGCGAGGCTTTCGTCTGGAATCCGGCCACTGTTCATTCCTGGCCGGAGGGGGTGTGCCGCTGGAGCCAAAGGTACACAGAGCAGGCTTCTTAACCCTTTCCTAATCTTTGCTCAGTTAAGCAGAAAGTTGCTGGGGTTGGGGAGCTTGCCCGTGGGAGCGTTACTCAACTCTTGGAAGAAGTTGCATTTCGTTTTGGTCGACTTCCCCCGCATGTGTTTTGTCCCTCCACAGTCGAATGCATTAGTCAGATGCTGGACTTGCAGCTTAGAAGACAGTTGGGAATTGGTCCAAGAAATTCTTATGCAGTCTAGAAATGGATGCTCTCCCCCAGTGCTTAGATTATTGGAAGTTTTGCTCCTTGCTGTCAAGCCAAAGATACTGAGGACGTTTGTAAGCAATTAAGTAGATATGTTGGGGTCTAAATATACAGATAGCCTGGTGCTGGTCATCTTAAATCCCACAGAGTTCATTTAATTTTGTGTTTAGGATTGTAGCTCTGTAGGATATATTGACTGAAGCTGATAATGTTACCACACTTAATATTTTTTCATTGCATGTGCTTTGAATAACACAGCTACAAATCCAGCATGGATATTTTTTAAGAGCTAAAGAGTATGCTTAAAGTGGAGCAAAAGTCTATGCCTTAGCTAAACATACATTTAATTAAAACATACAAACCTTCATTTATCTCTCGCCCTGTTCCATTAAAAACAAAATTTTCTTCATGTGTATCTCTCTGACTTCTTATACCATCCATTTATTTTTGAGACCCAAGCAAGTTGCTGTCATATGTTTTTAGCTCAAATAGCAGCAAAACCAATGTACCTTTGCCATTCAAGCAAATACTTAAGACTCTCATCGGAGTTCTAGTTGGTGAAAAGAAATATTCCGGCCTGTATTCTGAAATATTGTTCTGCTTCATTGTGAAGAATGGGCCTCTAGTGCACCATCCTGATTTTCTTCAATAAGGCATAGAAGCATTTCTTACAGTAGTCACCTTTTAGGTACTTGTAAGTAGGAAGAGTAGCATTAAGAATAGAAGTATAAGAACTATGTTGGACCTTTAGAACACCCAGCAGCTTTCATTTGCATGGTCTTTTCCATTTTCCTATATTGTCTTCTGTTTTGTGCTGCTTTAGAGGTTTAAAACTGTCTTGCAACTCTAACCTCCTTTTATATTCCCTTTTTGTGATATAATTGCCACCCTGACAGAAACACAGCTATGAAACTATTTTCTAAAAGGAAGGTGACCTTTCCCCTTCTCTTTGGTTCATTGGCTGTTTGGAGTGAAAGGGAAGTGTTTTGAAGAGTTGGGAAGTTGTATCTTGGAGTTCAAAGGAGATCCACTAAAAGCTCAGGAAAAAGCCCCTTTTCAATTAACTGAATTGTTGACATAATTGGAGCTTAGCCTAAACTGAGCAAAACTTTTGGCAGGGAAGCATTATTTATATTAGCTGGCTGCACCTCTCACAACATGTGGACTTAAATATAAAAAGGAAATTATTGGATTGGGAATTCCTTTTATTTTCACTTTGTACTGTGGCATGGCACATTAATTTCAGTAAGAGAAGTTATTGAGGAAGAAGATCTCATGATGCGAACTTGATATTTTCTACGTAAGCTATTTTTCTGTTAATGCAGAAGATTGGTAGAACGTGATTTTTGGCTTCCCAGATTTTCAGAAACTCTTGGTTTGTGTGATGAGGGCAATACACATTGGTGGGACTGAGGTGCATATTTTTAGTTTGTGCATTTTCTTCTCCACTTAACCATCTCGGTGTTCTTTGATTAACCAATATACTCTGAACTTTGGGGTGGGTTGTTTGTTTGAAATATCATTGTGGAAAATGGCAATTAAAATGCAAGGAAACTTGCATCATAACCCCCTGTTGGTTTTGTGGCTTCTGTCGCCTTTCACCTCTGCTCCTCTCAGCCCAGGGTTCATTGCAGTGCATCTTTTGTTGCTGTTTTAAAAAATACACACACAGACTCACCCAATTTTTAATGGCTTTATTTGTTAGTTGTCCTAGCTTTCTAAAGCATAGCTAACTAGTCTCCTGTGTGTTTCCAGCCATATTGCCTAGATATTGCTGTATTCACCCTGTTTACTGAACCAAAGGAGTAGGATTATGACAGGTTGCTAGAAGTGCTTGAAGTTTTTGCTAAATGTAGCTGAGAAGCAGCCTATCTATAGGGCAGGCATAGGCAAACTCGGCCCTCCAGATGTTTTGGGACTACAGTTCCCATCACCCCTGACCACTGGTCCTGTTAGCTAGGGATCATGGGAGTTGTAGTCCCAAAAATAATCTGGAGAGCTGAGTTTGCCTATGCCTGCTATAGGGTCATATCTTACTGTACATTCTTGTTAAGATGCTAATGGGCCATTAAAAATTTATTTTAACTTACCAATGATGCTTCTGTGTCACTAAGGCATCTAGATATGCAGAAACCACTGCTTTGTTTCTGGGTGGGCATGTTTCACTTCCAAAGTGCTAGACTTGGGACCACCCACTATGATACTTGGCATTTGCTTTTGGGTGTTTAAAGTGTTTCACGTATGTCATCTTTGTGCAATCCTTATGACAACCCTGTAACATAGGCCAGTGTTATCCCCAGGCCAGTGTTATCCCCATATTGCAGGTGGAGAGCACTGAATCTGAGAGAGTCCTAAGGCCACTTACTCACTGAGTTTTAGCTTTGCAGCCACTACCCCAAAATCATAACCTTATTTATAAGTCACACAAAGTCAAGTAGCTTTCTTTGTGCTCTTGATTATAGAAATGACTGCAATTCATGTATGCTGTAGCCTTTGGGATCAGTTAGTATCTTAGCACTACTCACAAATGTCACCTACTGCCTCCTGAATAAAAGAAGTAAAAAAGTAGATTAAGTTAGCTCAAATACAGTTGACAGTAAACTGTCATGTTCCAAATAAATCTCTAGGCCCATGGAAAGTAAACAGAAAAAGGCACAAATGTTTGCACATTAAGCAAACCTACTATACCAGTTACAATATGAAACAGGATCAGGCATATGTATCTTCCTGTGATGCCATAGTTTCTAGCATGATTTATACTCCAGTAGGGTGGATGCCCTTGTGATTTCCTGTCCTCTGAAGTTTGCGAGGAATGTTAATTAGCTTTAATTTCTTTGGGAATGTCTCATGCAGTGCAGTCTCTGAATCCTCACCAGTCTAACTATTGATATAACAAAAGCACATTGACTGTAAATGTTCAACTTGAGGGGCTTGCTTCCTTACTATAATGTACTGAGCAAACATCCTTGTTTGAGCAGTGTGATTTTAGTGTGACATTCTCCAGTGTTCACATATATTTCTGGCCAGCAATAGGCTTGTATTTTTGAATTGTACAAGAGTTGAAGGTCCAAGAGCATTGATAACCCCTTTCTCTGAGTTGAGACACAGGCAAGGCATTCTCTGTAATCTGTTCCAGCATGACAGCAACATAAGGAAAGCTTGTTATGCTCCCTTTAACAGTCACCTTGCCTCTCATTCTGAAACACAGACAAAAGGCTGGTAGAAAGTGTCTGATGCCTAAAGTAAGGTCAACGTCCTTGTGTTAGGAGCTGGATAGATAACTGGTGGTCCAGAGTCTCCCTATATTTAAACCAAATGATTGGTTGCTAGAACTTTTTGTTATGTCACTGGATTGTATGGTTCTTACATGATGACTCCAAGAGCTAATGATGAGGCCTTTTGGTTTGCAAGAGGGACTTTAAGGTGGACAGTTAAGAAGGTCAAAAGTATAATGAATATGTTTTAAATTAAAATTTTGCATAGATTTTCACCAGGCTTCCACCTGGTATTCCAAATAGCTTTCTCCCCCATTTCCTCATCACTTTGTTTTCTGTTGCACCACTTGATTTCTGCAGTCATTCGCACACCCCTGCCAAATCTGCCCCCCCTTCATCCAATCTTGCCATTACTGAAATGTTTTTGGAGCCACTGATAATGGCCTTCCTTTCATACATTTATAGCCCTACATAATACTAGCTGAAGGCAAATGTTTTCCATTTTTCTTGCTGATTCTGTGTATGCTAACTGACCAATTTCCTGTTACTGTGGGATGTGATGATGACCTTAACTCACCATCCTCAATACCTTTAGCCCCTTCAGGTTAAAATGAAGAGCACAAATCACAGTACACGAAGGTACAATTTCTCCAGTGTAACTTACGCAGTCAGTCAACAGTCACATTTGTTTTCAAAAGGAGAAACATCCCCCCAAATGAGGAGATTGGTAAAAAGGAAGTTGAAAGGCAAAATCAAGAGGGTCAGATCACTCCAAAATGGCTTGAAAGTTGTTTGAAAAGACAAATAGCTGGGATAGCTCAGTTGGTAAGCATGAGGCTCTTAATCTCAGGGTCGTGGGTTCAAGTCCACATTGGACAAAAGATTCCTGCATTGCAGGGGGTTGGAGTGTTTGACTCTTGTGGTCCCTTCCAACTCTACAATTCTGCAATATTAGTTCAACTGGAATACATGTGGCAGATAAGGAGAGGTACCACAAAAGCCAAGAGGGTGAGAGTGTGGTTCACAAGCAGAGTTAAAGAAACTATTGGAGGCAATAAGGCTTCTTTAAAAAGTAAGGCAGGGGGAATCTTGTCCAAATGAAGAGAACAAAAATAAAGTTCAAGCCAGACAATAAGGTATACTAAAAGAATAAGAGAAGCACATTTCTAAAAACATGAAGACCACCACCAACAAGATATTTAAATATAATAGTAGCAAAGGCCTCTTTAGGGAGGCTTTGGACCCTTGAATGACAAAGGAGTCATTAGTGTGCTTAAGGAGGTTGCAGAGAAGCCGAATGCAATCTTTGCATCTGTCAGCACAGAGGAAGATATAGAGTACACCTGAACTTTTGAAAGAGGGTAATCTGAGGGACTGAGGCAGATAGTGGTAGAAGAGATGATCTGATCATCTCAGCCAAATAAGACAAAATACAGTATTTCAGATCTCCAGGTCTGGATAGCATCCACCTGAGAGTTCTGAAAGAACTCAAATATGAAATTGATTATCTTCTACCAAAAATATGTAACTTGTTCCTCAGGTGAGCCTCCATACCTGAGGACTGGAAGATAGTCAATGTATTACCATTTTTTAAAAAATGGATCTGGGGTGGAAGACCCTGGAAATCACAGACTAGTTAGCTTATCATCTGTCCTGGGTAAACTGGTGGGAAAGCATTGTTATGGATAAAATAACCAAGCATCTAGAAGAACAAGCCTTGTTGAAGCAGAGCTAGCATGGCTTCTGTAAGGGCGAGACCTGTGTCATGAATCTTTGAGAATGTCAACAAGTTTATAAACAGAGGTGATTCAGTTGACATAGTTGACAAAGTATCTCACAAAAGGCTCCTGAGTAAGCTTATCAATCATGGAAAAAGAGGCGATGTGCTCTTGTGGATCAGGACTTGGTTAAATAGTAAGCAGTGAGTGGGAATAAATGGACTGTTCTCTGAATGGAGAGGTGTAGAAAGTGGAGTCCACCAAGGACTCTAGAACTGGTAGACATCCAATGGAGCTAATTGTGGAAATGTTCAGAATAGATAAAGGGAAGTTCTCCTTCATTTAATGCATAGTTAAACTATGGAACTTGCTCCCATAATCACCTCTATCACCTCTATTATACGCCCATAAATATCATTCTAGAGATGCTTTCCTCAACTTTAGATGATACGGGACTATGGGGAAGGCTGGCTGGCTGAGGCCAGGAGATTTTTCTTCTCGCCTTCCAGATACTTCATAAGGATTATTTTCCCACTGTCTCTGTAGTCAGCCGTGTTTGGTAGCAGCAGAAAGTAAAAGAAAGGGCACCTGGTACAGAAAATGGAATGTGCCCCCCCCCCGATGTTTGGTGTATTTTGGGATGAACAGTATGACGTAGGAGCAGTGTTTATAAAGGACACAGAGTCTTGCTTTGGGGGGCAGTAAGAACTTATTTTCGTAGAAGGACAAAACCCAGCACTAATTTGAAAAAGCTCCAATAAATCCAGGAAATATTTGCTGCCAAAATGCTCTCAGGAAATATTGGATCGGTCTTTCCATTATCCCCTTAGCACATGTAAACAAAAAAGCTTGGCTTTACAACATCATCAAATAAACTAAGTCTCTTTTATTGTTCCACTGCAGTGAGAAAGAAGGAGAGATAAAAACCTGGGGGAGGTTGATGCATGTTTTCTCAGATGGTGTACTTTAGTTTTGTACTTGTTGCGCCACATAATACGTGAATTTCTTTTTCATATAATTGTTCGCAAAGTTCTGTTTGATTTAAGAGTTAAGCAGTGAATAGGCTCTTTAGTCTTCCTTGTCTGGGATGATTGAATGTTTTGAGCATTTAAAATTGATACTGCTTGTAGCTGGAAGATGTGGAAATTGATTATAGAAACATGCACACACCTACCTTTGAAGATCAAAATTATTATTGAGATTAAGGCTTTTAAAAATATTTTATTGGAATACTATAAAGTGAATTTTACATTCATATTTTGTTGATCCAAAAGTGCATATAGTCAAATCTGCTAGAAGTTGTTGGGATTTAAAACTTTGGACTCCATTACATATTTGTTTTTTTACCAGGTTTTGAAGTGTTGTTCTTTTGGCTCACCCTTCAAGCCCCCTTTTCTTTAGTCTGAGGAAGGGTAGGAGAAAAAGCTACAGGAAATATTTTCACATTGTTTTGCCATTGACCTCTTCTTCACAATGCTGTTAGGTCTGCCTAAAAGCACGGCATGGGTGTGGAGACCACCAGTAACCTGTCAAGAGTGGTGGGGCTAGATTGAATGGAGTTTACCACATGTACACTGCACACTTGCCTATTTGTCTCCAGGGTCAAGCTATGTTAAATTAATTGTTACAAGTAAATTAAAGTCAAGTAAAAACCCATCTGTCTAAAAATTTCCCTCCACGCCCTCCCTCATGCTTCCTGGAGTTAAACTAAAGCTGCAATCTTACTTAACATTGCTAGACAGCAAGTCCTCTGAACACTGTGAGGTTTATTTCCAATAAAACATGCATAGGATTGTGCTGTCGATTGTGATGCACTACAGCCACTCAGATATAACCATACCTTTCCTACAAAACTGATAAGGCTCTACAGTGGTACCTCAGGTTACATACGCTTCAGGTTACAGACTCCGCTAACCCAGAAATAGTGCTTCAGGTTAAGAACTTTGCTTCAGGATGAGAACAGAAATCGTGCTCCGGCGGTGCAGCAGCAGCGGGAGGCCCCATTAGCTAAAGTGGTGCTTCAGGTTAAGAACAGTTTCAGGTTAAGTATGGACCTCCAGAACGAATTAAGTACTTAACCTGAGGTACCACTGTAGTTGGTTTTTAGTGCTGCTTAGGCCCATGTATTTCTCATGATTCTCCTCCCCCCCCCCCCCCAAGAAATAAATACAGGGCAGTCACAGATGGCATAGAGGTGGAGAAGGACCTGCTTAACCCTTTTCCTACTAGCCATTTATTTGTTCACTCAAAATTCCCCCGTGGATTCCCAGGTATTGTGGGAAAATATACAAAGTTGTGGACCCCTTATGCTTTTCCCTGCACAGGTGGGAAAACCAGAGATGGGGAATAGCTGAAAGGTTTAAGCATCCCCCCTCCCACTTGTCCTCATACTTTAACTCATTCATATCTGCATTCCAATGGTGTGGCTTTTTAAGAAAGCTTTCCTGTACTAGGAGCATAGGAAGCTGCCTTATATGAGTCAGGCCTTTGGTACATCTAGCTCAGTGTTGACCATGGTGACTGGCAGAGACTCTCCAGAGCAGATGTGGTTCTCTCCCAGCCCTACCTGAAGATGCCAGGGGTTGACTCTGGGACCTTGTGTGCATGCAAAGTGGATTTTCCTGATGCCCTAGAGAACAATGGAGTTTAGCACAGCTCAACTTGTGTAGTTAGCATCAATTTCTTGTTGCTAATGGACTTACAAAATGGAAAGTTTTCTGTGGGATTTTTTTTAAAAAAAAACACTGGGAAATTTTCTGTTTGGGCAAATTTTCTGACCCTATTACTGCTTCACTCTATTATTAAAAATGAAAATAAAAAAAAATCCTGATATACCTGCAGCAAATTCTTGAGAGAGGGAGGAAGAAGAGGGAAGTTGAATGACACTGCCTTGGCTGTCTGGGGAGTTCTTTTTCTGCAGAAGTTATTTTCCTTTTCCCCCCTAACATTTCTATGTACATGAATATCATGTAGTCAGAGCTGTTCCTAGCACTTACGTATTTGCATTTGAAATGCGACAGGTGGGATAAATGATATAAGCCGCCTACATCCTTGGCTTATATGTTGATTCTGGAATAAATAAACGTTGTGGTGTAGTGGTATGTGTCTGTTTTTGTAAGGACTCGTTTTTGAATAATAACTGATTGGATTAAGCTCAGATTTCCCTTTGCTGATTATTTAAGACGCAGTTCTTTGCTAAAAACCTCTGGGTCATTCCACGCCAAATCACCTGATTTTAATACTCGGCCGTGCTCTCACGACTCAGATTTTCTTCCAGTTTTTTTTAATGTGTAGATACCTATGAGATAACCTATAATTAATTTTTTAAATTTTTTTTTTGTTCAAAATTGGGCCCAGGTCCAAAAAAGCTGACAAAAAAGTAATATTTTTTTTCCTCAAAAAACTACTTCAAAATCAAATTATTTTATAACCACAAAAAACACCCTCCTTATTTTTAAAACACAGTAAGTACATGGTTAGCCCATTCTACAACAAAAGTATGATACATGTGTTAGTCGTGGTTTGTGTGCTATGGCTTATGGAACCTACTGGGGGGGGGGAATGACAAAAATTCACTTTGAATGGTCGGTGACCCTTTTCTCTGGCACTTAATACCATTTTTATACCTTATTTTGAAAGAGACCACAATTAGCTTTATTTTGATACCAAAATAACCCTAATCAGTTGAAAAATACGCGAAACAAGAGGTTTTTTTTCTAAACTGGCACAGAAGTTGCATTAGCCTAAATCGCGTGAAAATCGAAATTTTCAAAAAATTCTCCTGGGCCCAATTTTGGACCAAAAAATCTTTAAAAATTAATTTGAGGTTATCTCACAGGTATCTACACATATCTTGCTTGAAGCCTCAATCCTATTGTAAATAATAATAATAATAATTAATAAGCAACAACAGAGGGTCAAGTTGTTCAAATCTACCTGTGACACGACTTATCTGTATATGCATTGTAGTTCTGTTAGAAGAGAAAGAAATACTGACAAGACAGAAGCACTATTGACCTGGTTATCCACTCTTCCTTAAGTGTTTGTTCAGGAAAGAAATTGCCTATGCCAGTGGTTTTCAACCAGTGTGCCATGGCACCCTGGAGTGTCTTGAATGATGTTCAGGGGTGCTGTGGGTAACACTGGCCTTTGTCCCTCTT